CGCGGCTGCGTTCTGGACGAGTTGAAGTCTCCGAATACTCTTCAAGGGCTGCCCCATGTAGAGCGCCAAGTAATTCCACAATTAGGGGAAATTACTTTAAATCTAGAAAGTCAATGGAATATTAGGCAGTAGACCTTGAAATCAGTGATACATAAACCACTCTTGTTGATTGTTCATTATTCTTACTAAAGAATAATCAAGAATAATCAAAATGCTTGTTGCATACTACTACACATGTATCTTTCCGAATCTATTTCTACTGGAGCAATTTGCTAAATTGTCTCTCCTTCAAGTAGAAGATAAAGAGTAAAATCTACAGGAAAAAAAATGAATGGAAACCAGCATTCTGTCCCAATATTCACTCGGCAATGATCATAATTCATTTTTAGATTATACTGCTCTATAGCAAACTATATTATTGTAGCTAACAATCAATCAATATACTATACGTGCATGGAGCTTATACTGTATAAAACCTAGTTAAAGTTGAAATAGAAGCTTAAGTCATCTTTAAGCATAAGAATCATGTACAAACCCCTTGTTTAAATAGTCCTTGGAATAAAGAATCATCGAATTTTGCATCAGCATCCATTTTTTGTACTAATGGAGCAACTTGTTCTTGGGCAAATTTTTTTACTAGACAAAAGAAACAAAGATATAAAGGAATTAAGCTTTAATATATTTATATACATATTTAAACAGCAGACTAACTGACTGCCAATACAGTACACAAACCTCCAAGTTGAGGGATACAAGGAACAATATATTGGCTTATAACGTAGCCTCTAGCTCAAAAATCCTAGCTTGTAAAGAACAATGATAGAAGAACTGAATGTGTTGCACTCATTATTAACATACCTTTAATATAAACAACCCAGTGTCATGTCCTTCAGTTTGCACAGACTACTATTTGCACAATGCCCAGACACGAGAAAATATTTCACAAATGAACCCATTTACAAACTACTAAAAAATTCTGGATTTGGAGTATTTCTCTATTAGGTACTTATATAATCTTTCAGAATCAATCTTCCATCACTGAGGTTCTGCAAAATCTGATCTTGTTACTGTTATATGAACACAGTAACAGTTGAATAGTTCTAGAAGATGTTTAAATCACTAGTGAGGATCCTGCCAAATTTATAGAGGATTTTGCTGAAAGAATTTGAACAAGTTTAATTACACTGGACACATCACCTGACTGTTTAATCATTAACTCTTCTTCTGTAAATGTCTGAAGTGGAGCACAAGTTAATCCTTCTTGGACTGTATGTGGTAAAGCTTCTGATTTGAAAGATTTAGAAAGACAAGAACGAGTGTTCCAATGATTTATGCAGAGAGGTATATTCCATCTTGGCTATGGGGAAAAAAGAAAAAAAAGAAGAAAAGAAAATACTTAGAGATAAGATTAGATTCAACAAATAATTACATTTCATATAAAATCTACAGTTCTAATTTGTTCTACATGGCTGTGCTACATATATATATATGACCCCCGTACACTGCAATTATTAANCCATTTAGATTTCAATTTTATATTATAGAGGTGTTTTTATTATAAAAAAAACACTAGAAGTGTTTTTTATTTAGTGAATATTGTGACATAGCCATCTTGTAGGTAATTTCACATAAATTGTAGTATTCAGTTATTAAGGTTTTGTGCATAACTCCTTGTTCGATCACTAAGTTTATAATTTACTCCATTTAGATTTCAATTTTATATTATAGAGGTGTTGTTATTATAAAAAACAAACTATAGAAGTGTTTTTTATTTAGTGAATATTGTGACATAGCCATCCTAGATCTTGTAGATAATTTCACGTAAATTGTATTATTTGTTCTTAAGGTTTTGTGCATAACTCCTTGTTAGATCACTAAGTTTATTATTTACGCCATTTAGATTTCAATTTTATAATACTATAGAGGTGTTTTTTGAGGGTGTATGGATAAAACATGATAGTGTGGAATTACCTGTTCTAGGGTAGGACAGGACTCCAGTCCCTGTGGAAATCCCTTTGATTTATGACTTGCAAATATTAGGAAATTCAGTTCTGTTAGGGACATTTTATGCACAGCTCATGGGAGAATCTGAATTGGAAGAAATATCCAAACGTGGGAAGTAGAATACCATCTCTATAGATGGCACACATCATCCCCGTTTCCTCCTGCACCAACTTAGATTGATTGTAAAGGAAAAGAAAATGGTTTTAAGAAATAGAAGCTTAAGGAAGACAGGAAAGTACCTGTTCGTCTTTCTGTCCTGCTTGTATACACTCAGGATGAAGTGGTAGCAGTGCTTTGTGAGCTTAAAAAGTAATAATTTTCTTCCTGCTATTTCTATCTAAGTAAAATTTTAGGAGGCTAATGATAGTGGAAAGAAAATCAGCAAAAGTTTTTATTCATATATAATTTGAAAAAAATGCATTTTTGAAAATGATACAAGATTAAGGTAGTCTATTTCCTTGAGCAACCGAGAATTTCATTAGAAATGCTGTGGAGTTGTATTAGTGTCCCTGCAATACCTTAAGGTGTATAGAGTTGACAGTGCTTATGAGGAGTAAAATAGGAAGGGAAGGAGAAGAAGGAAACCACATCCATTTACACAGGTTGTTTACACATAATATTTTCACTTCTTTTTGTTTTGGGATTATTAGGGGCTTTAGATTAAAATCAGGAATGCAACATACTTTTATCAGTTTTTGGTGTTTATGGGCTACATTCAGGTACAAGGATTACAAACAATATGTGCGTTGTCTTTGATAAGAAATACCTGCAAATTGTATGAAGTTATTGAAGCTTAAATACCAGAAGAATTTTTTGGGAACATTCATATGATTCTCCAAGTGTGAGTTCAGATAGTTGTCCTTATCAGATGAGCTATTTCAATTATTTCAGGAAAGATACTTTAAAGATGGCAGTTTGTCTTTGCTGAAAGCAATTCAAGGGTCGTAACACATTTTTTCCTAATAGCTATCTGCTATAACTATTAGCTTCTAATACAGAAAAAAATCATAAGACAGTACTATGACTGAACAAGAATAGTGTCAAAGGGTAATCAGGAGGATTCAGAATCAAATCTTATTCAGCTGTGAATCTCATTTAATGACATTGAACTATCAGTCACTTAGTTTAATCTATTTCATGCTAAAATAAAGTGGAGAGCAAGGGAACTGTTAACAATATGAAATCCCTTGGAGAAGAATGAATAAAACATAATAAAAATAAAATTAACTGTTGTGGAAAAGAATGATTTTTCTTGAGACCTTAAGGTATCCCAATTACTAGTTATGCAATTGAAATGACCTAATGATAATCCTTTGAAATTTAAATGTTTGAAATATCTAGTGGGATTGAGGAAGGAATATTTCTAGGGAAGCATTGCTATTTTCTGTATCACTGTTTAGACTGAACTAGTTGGAATTCCCAGAAGATATGAGAGACATGATATACAGCATTGGAATGAATGAATGTATGTTTCTTCCAGAGTAGTTATGGAAACTTTCCTTTTTCTGAGGCCACACTAGCATTTCCCAAGTTATATAAAAAACTTGACTAGTAAAAATATAAGTTATCCTTCTGTTAAAGTGCATAAGCAAATATCACTTTTAATTAAAATATACGTCCTGGTTTCATTTTCTTGCAGGATGATTGTAGAGGCATTAATGAGAAAAATGTATTTCCAAGTATGATGGAACATAAATCTCAGAAGTGGATTTTTGCCTCTGTCAGTGATTTGAAGCTGATTTGGACTAAAGTAATTAAGGTAATTTATATAACTTCAAATAGTTTTTTTATTATTGTTTTATTGTTATAAGACAAATTATAAAGAATACTACATGTATATTATTAATATCGTAATGTTTAGATAACTTAGATCTTTAAAGAAAGAAAAATAGAAAAGGTTTATATCAGTATTAACTATGATTTGATGTTAATAAACATAAGATCATAAGATTGTTTAAATTTTACATCCAAAGCTAAATGTAGCATTAATAAGCAACTGAAAAATCAAAATATTTGGTGTACAATTAAGCTGTTTCTGTCTTAAGCTGAATAATTAATACAAATGTTTCTACTGTGTTCGTTTTTTGTGTATAATGAGAAAAAGAAAACAAAGCAAAATAGACAGTGGCAATCAAAAAGTTTTAAATACCGTGTTTCCCCGAAAATAAGACGATCTTATTTTCTTTTGACCCCCCCCCCAATTTTGCTTGGGCCTTATTATCGGGGGGGTTATTGGTTTGGGGTTGCCGGGTGGCTGCTCTCTTGCGAGCGGGCGCCCGAAGAGCTGGGCACAGCCTCAGGGGCAAACGGCTGTGTTGCGCTGTCTCATCAGTGCAACAAAGGCACCATGAGGTGACCACGCTCATGAGCAGCTGCCCAGCAATGCCCATTTCCAGCCGGGCAGAGCGCCACTCACTGACCCAGTAATATTCCAAAGGTGCTAAGCCATGTGGCGCTCTGCCCTCTGGAAAGAGAGGTTGCGTGAGCACTTGATCTGCCTCCAGCTCGTGTGCCTCCCTGCCTCACCATGCCCAACTCTTCCTGCAGGGCTGGGCCAGGGCGCCACCGCTGCCCCGCTGCCACCACCGCGGTACCGCTGACGCCGCCATGCTCCAAGCATAACCTGCTTCCAAACTTCGGAGATCTGCTGCCGAGTCTTCTGGCAGCGGCTGCTCTGGGACTATGCTGTATGGTTGTGGGCTGGCTGAGGGCAGGGTCTTGCAACAGCCAGCCCACAACCATAGGGCGTAGTCCCAGAGCGGCCGCTGCCGGAAGACTCGGCAGCAGATCTCCGGAGTTTGGAAGCCGGTTATGCTCGGAGCATGGCAGCGGGGCAGTGGCGGTGCCCTGGTCCAGCCCTGCAGGGAGAGTTGGGTATGGTGAGGCAGGGAGGCACGCAATCTGGAGGCAGAACAAGTGCTCGGGCAACCTCTCTTTCCAGCCGGGCAGAGTGCCACGCGGCTTAGCGCCTTTGGGATATTACCGGGTCAGTGAGTGGCGCTCTGCCCAGCTGGAAAGAGCAGCTGCCTGGCAACCCCCCACTTCAGCTGGGCACAGCGCCACCCACCAACCTAGCGGTATCCCAAAGTCATCAAGCAATGTGAGCCCCTTTGCCCCCCCGGCTCCTGCGGCTTTGCGCCTTCGGGATATTGCTAGGTTGGTGAATCGCGCTCTACCTGGCTGGAGGGGGCTTATTATTGGGGGAGGGCATATATTTTTGCCCACAAGAAAAATATGGTATGGTCTTATTATCAGGACATGTTGTAATTTTGGGGAAACACGGTAGTTTTTAGGGACCTTCAAATTTCCTCATAGTGTCATCAGGTATGAATTACAGGACTATTACTACTAATAATAGAATAATTTTGCAACAAATACAATATTACAATAAGTTAGAGAAAGAGAACGATTTAAGAGATGGGAATTTTGACCATTAGTAGAGGAAAGGGGTTAAAAGATAGAGATTAATTGTATGGGATTTTGCTTCTGAATTTCTTAGATTCATGTTTATTACAATTTTGAGTTTATCAGGGTTTTTCTTTTTTTTTTGCTGCCTTTGAACAGTTGCTTGTTATTAAACTTGAGTAAATGTTAACAAGTCTTAGCATACTAAAGGATGACTTTCTATTAACACTACTTGGAAGTAGAAAAAATAATTAAAATCCACTTGTTACAAGATACGGTTATATCTACTGCCTTTTTTAACCTTTTAATCTAAAAAGGAAACTTCAAAAAACAAAAAGATCCAAAAATACCCCAACAGTATAAAGACTAGAGATACAGGTACAGATACAGACAAAACGTTTTGAGTATAAAGTAATATTTTTCAACCATGGCAACTGTTTAGTTGTTTAAGAATTCTGGGAGTTGAAGTCTACACATTTTAAAATTGCCAAGGTTGAGAAAAACTGGCATAAAGCAATTCTGGTTTTGAGATGAAACAGTTGTTTTGAATCACTTTCAAGTGATATATTTTAAATGTGNAACAAAAACATCCAAACATACCCCAACAGTATAAAGACTAGAGATACAGGTACAGATACAGACAAAACGTTTTGAGTATAAAGTAATATTTCTCAACCATGGCAACTGTTTAGTTGTTTTAAGAATTCTGGGAGTTGAAGTCTACACATTTTAAAATTGCCAAAGTTGAGAAAACCTGGCATAAAGCAATTCTGGTTTTGAGATGAAACAGTTGTTTTGAATCACTTTCAAGTGATACATTTTAAATGTGAAATAGTTCAAATGTAAAAAGTTTAGCACTTCCATAGTAATGATTATTTCATATTTGTTTCCACCTGGTAATTAATCATTAGTTCTTGGGTTATGTAGCATTTCTGTTGCTTGTTAAGAACTCTGATCCAAGCTGAATGTTTGTATATGTGAGTCCTTGAGTCCAGCATCATAGTTGATAAATGTTATAATTAAGAATTCTGGGAGTTGAAGTCTACACATTTTAAAATTGCCAAAGTTGAAGAAAACCTGGCATAAAGCAATTCTGGTTTTGAGATGAAACAGTTGTTTTGAATCCCTTTCAAGTGATATATTTTAAATGTGAAATAGTTGAAATGTTAAAAGTTTAGCACTTCCATAGTAATGATTATTTCGTATTTGTTTCCATCTGGTAATTAATCATTAGTTCTTGGGTTATGTAAGTATTTCTGTTGCTTGTTAAGAACTCTGATCAAAGCTGAATGTTTGTATATGCGAGTCCTTGAGTCCAGCATCATAGTTGATAAATGTTATAATCAAGAATTCTGGGAGTTGAAGTCTACACATTTTAAAGTTTGCCAAGGTTGAGAAACACTGACCTAGTTATTTGCACATCTGGATGTGCCAGGCTTTGCCACGGAGCCATCCAAGGCGGCAGTTCTTCGCCTCCCGCCCTTGCACGTTTTGCAGCCCCCCTTACCTTCCTGCAGGATCTCAGCAAAGCCAAAGCTCCCGCAGCTGCCATCGTTGACGCCCGCAGCAGCCCCGCTCCTGGCTCCCCCCAATTCGCCTTCTTGGTTCCGTCCCGCCTCTCAGCCGCGCAAGGTTAGATAAGCACAGATTTGCATGGGCACCTCAAAGAGATAAGAGATGGTTGCTGGGATTTTTTTTCTCTCCTCACTTCCGGTTCCCGTTGGAACCCTTCATCTGCGGGGCTGGCCACTCATTTCATCCTTTCTAGAGGAGCCATTCTGCCCAAACGACGGGGCTTTGCTTCAAAAAAAAAACGAGGCTCAGGTAGACAGCGTTATGCCCACCACAATGGCTGCTTTAATCCCGCCCGCTCCGGAGCCTATCTGGCGTCTGAGAGCCGGAAGTTTTTAAAAACACACACAGATACACACACGCACAGACGTACGCAAAACCATGAACCCGCCCTGAACTCTTTGGGAAATCCTCCTGAAAGCCTCTTTCCCCATCGCCCGAGCGGGACGCGCCGTGTCGAACTCTCGCGGGACTTCGTTGAGGAGAAGCGAGAGGTTACGTTTAAGCTCCGGGAGGCACAACAAACATGGAGGCGGCGGCGGCAGCAGCGGCGGCGACGACGAGAGTTCGAGGCCCGGGTGACTGCAAAGGGCAGCGGCGGTGAGTCACGGAAGAAGGCTGCGTCGTCCTCCGGGGTTTTTTTTTTTTCTTCTTCCTCTTTTCTCGGCCACCGGTGAATTGAAGAAGGCGGCGGCGGCGGCAGGCTAGCTCCTCGCGGGAGGCGGCAAAGTCAAGGGCAAAAAGGCTGGCGTGTCCCGGGGGAGGCGCCTTGAAGAGCTCCGGGACGGTTTTGGAGCCGTGACTTTTTAAAGAAGCGGCGGGGGGGGACACAAAACAACGGCCAGCTGCGCCAAAGAGGGTCCTCGGCAGTCCGTCGAGTCCTGTTAAGCGAGGAAAGCCAAACCCCCCTTCG